TAAAAAATCGAGAATACGTTGTTATTATGAAGGAAATAGTGGAGGAAAATTATGTACAGAATTTTGCTCATGAGCTCAAGTAACAAGCTTATTAATCCAAAATAACATAATTTAGTGTGCGACAATTATGTATATAAGGATGGGTGATAACATCTAAACTCATCTAATCAATTTCGTTATTTTCAAATATTTCAGATAACTTCACATCATCGACGAGTTAGGTAACCTTTGGTATGGTTATTACCACTGTCATCCTTTATCCCAACAGGAAACCCAAACCCCTATCACAGTTAAAACTAACTCTATGTCCAAATTTCGAAGACAAACAAAAAAAAACCTCGAACGGTATGAATCCAAATCTCCAAACGACAAGAATCTCAACTCATAAAATATTAACTGGTTTTGTTTACTATATTAATCTCGATTCCAAGCTGGAAACTCAGTTTTTAGCAAGCTCTAGGGGAGAATCTTTAGGAATATACTAGTCTGAGATCCACCAAAAGATTCCCCTGTCCCTAGCTCTCTCTCCCATTTCTTTATTTAGGTCGCCCAATTCAAAAGCAAAGGGATTAGGTCAACAAAAGAAACAAACGAAGAGTGATTAGAGGAGCAATAAACCTTAATTGGTGACACTTGTAATCCACCCATTTGCCCCTTGTTCAGATTTGTTTTCCTCTTTGGTTTAATTTATATGGGTTTTGGTTTTGTCAAAATGGACATCTATATGCTATTTATTATCATTAGTATTTTTAAGTATACTTAGCTAGATGTCAAACACCAAAAAGTCCAAAACCATTGTATGTAGACATGATTTTGGATATCCTTTCAGTTTAGTGGGTTAAGCCTTGGACCTATCAGAGTATCGTGGACACAAAACTGCAAAAAGTCTAAACTTCTATGAATACTTATATTTTTCCTGGTAATTTATACTTGTTTATTTTGTAATTAAAAAAATAATTAAGATATACTTCGAGTGATAGTAATACTCTATGTTGTTCTTCATGTCATACTCAAGGTCTCTCAAATTCAAATGTATTTGTCAATTTTTCTTGGATAGGAAATTTGTTCATCCGCTAGGCTAATTTGATTAATGAGTTAGCTTGATTGGCTTGAATAGAGTAGTTTGTAGCTGTTCTATCGATAGGAGGGTTTGTATCGCTATTCATGAATACTTATTATAATTCCTATGTTCATCTAATCAAACTCCAAAAAAAATTCTTATCGGTTGAGTTAATGTCTGATCTAAAATTTAATTGCAACCCTATCAATATTTCGACTTTAACTATGTCTCTTTCTGGTTTTAATAAGAGAAAACGATATGAGAGGCATATCATCTATCGAACTTGATGAATCAATTATTTGTATTGATGAATTGAATAATAAGAAATTCCTTTAGATATTCTATAACCAGAGTTCACATTCAACTGATTCTGTTATTGGGTTGTGTGGGCATAATTATATTGATGCTTGATTGGCTTGAATAGAGTAGTTTGTATCTGTTCTATCAATAGAAGGAGGGTTTGCATCATAATTCACAAAGACTTGTTATAATCCCATGTGCATCCAATCAAATACCAAACTAGTTTTCTTATTAATTGCGTTAAAGTTTGATCTAAAATTTAACTGCAGCTTGTAATGTTTAAACTTTAACTACGTCCTTTTCTAGTTTTATTTAGAGAAAATGATGTGAGAGACATATCGTTTGTCCAATATGACGAGCCAATTATTTACATTGATGAATTGAATAATGAGATTCATTTGGATATTTCTATAACCAGAGTTCACATTCGGCTACTTCTATTTAGGGGTGGCTATACGGTCCGGTCCGGTTAAATTGGACCAAATTGATCCGGTCCCAGTCCGGTCTTTTCGGAAATATGAGGACCAAAGATTGGATTGGATACAGTCCGGTTTTGACCCGGTCCGGTCCCAATTTTATCTTGATTTTAGGTGTTGGGGGTCTCTTATCCGGTCTTTATCCGGTTTTTTAACTCAAATCTAAGCCCGAATATGAGATTGCATTGTTTGTTATCCGGTCCCGGTCCGAGTTATACGGTCCGGTTTCGGGTAAAACCAAACAGTCCGGGACCAAATAGTGGGTTGTGTACACTTAATTATATTGTTGCCCTCATTCTGTCAAAAATAAAAACGGATCCGTAAAACGAAACCCTTATTCGCAAAAAAGAAACAGATCCTAATTTCAAGTGAACCAATACATTGTATGGTTTCAAATCCTGTGATAATACCGCAAGTGAACCCCGTTCAAAAAAAAAAAAAAAATTTGATCTTAATGTCAAGTGAACCAATAACTTGTATGGTTTCAAAATTTTGTTGCCCGAACCTTTGATATTTGAATCTAGTTTATATTTATTGACTTAGTTTATGTCAAACTAAACTATTGATCCCAATTAAATCAAATATCAATTCGATCCGATCTCATACCGATCACATAAACGTTTAAGCACACCCAGAGCCCAGAGGGCCAGAGCTACACATAGGCCTAAAACCTCAACAAAAACTCGGATTCGTCAACGAAACATCTCCAAGCTCCTTGGTCGCGCGCCGGCGTTGTTGCAAACCAGGTCCAGCCGTTTGGTCTCCTGGTTAAACCGAAGCCGGCCGGTCATGTAGTAGTAAGTCACGAGCAGAGTTTCCGCGACCGTTCGGCGCTCGCCTCATCGTCGATGCATGCAACTTCGCCGGTCAGGAATATGGTCTCGAAGGCCCGGCGGTGGTCGTGTGGTCCGGAAGAAAGTGTAGCCATTGCTGCTGTCCATCTCTTGGCTAGCGACGGTGTTTGAGGTCAATGTTGTCAAAATTCGAATCAGAGTATGAACGGATATAGCGAACGATTCGCATTTCAGTGGTTTAATTCGGTACTAAATCGTTAACGAACTGTTACTAAACCATAATTATATAGCTATGTATAAAGTAGAAACCTGTTATTCTACGAAAATGAAAATTATCCAGTGATAATATATGTGATTTTTTGAAAATAGGAAGTTATGTAATGGAAAAATTAAAACAAAATAGGGGGACTTTATCTTTGTATTACCAGGTATATTTATATATAAATAGCAATGTAACTTACATTTGGTTCGAAAATCGTGATCATCTTGGTTTGTTTTTTCATTTGGACAGCCTGTTTTGTTCGTCTTATTTGAGCGACTAACCGTTCGAACCAACATTCACCTTCCTGTTTTATCGATGAAAGTGACTAGTTCGATTCGATCTTCAGAACACTAGTTAAGATGGCAAAGGCAATTAGGTAAATATATCCCACATAAATTCGCCATTTCACAAATGATATATTGAGGACTCTTTTTACCGTTTGTAAAGTAAAAAAAATGTTATACTGTGAAATTGAAAAAGGGCCATACAACATTAAAATTTACTTTGCGCTTTGTTAAAACATAATGATTTTTACTAACTTATTTATGTATTTGATGATATGAATAAAATTTTAATTTGTGATCGCTAATTTTATTTAGAACACAAACACAACCATATAATGGGCTGCATTGTGTATTTGTGTTGTGGGTTTCAACCAGATCCACATCTTGGATTTGCTTATTGGCACTATTGTGTGTGGTCCAGATAAGATATTTACCAACTTAGATTAATGGGCTACGACCCACCCAACAGACTGGGAATGCCATTTATTTGTCCGGGCTTAATTTCGAAAGCCCGTCAGACTATGCACATCAAAATTGGGCTGAGTTCAAAATATCTCTTGGGCCAAATCGACGATGTGTTCGGCCCATATAACAGTGGTGCCCCCAGCACTAGTTTGTTTTGCTTCCTATTCACCAATATGAAATGAAATGGATGGGTTTGTTCTTGTTTCTTGTTCAAAATTAGAAAGATGATATTGTTCAATGTGCTTCAACCTTGATTCGATTCGTTCAGTTTTTTATTCATTTATCAGTCCAGTAGATTAATCTTGAAACCGATATTTATTAAGCTTGCGAACTTCAAGATACAGATCAACTAGTTTGATTTGAAATAGACCAACGTATTATCAACTCGATGTAAATAAACATTATTGACGGCAAAAGAACAAAAGCATACCAGAAATGTTGTGTGTGGGAAAACAGAGCATGAATATGAATGGGATGAATGATCACATGAAATAACCCTGAAGAAGGAACGAAAACAAAAACAGAGTACAGCAGAAAAGATGAGTTAAAACAGGCGTAGCGTAACTGCCACTTTTTTTTCCTTCCCTCATTCTGCTGCTGCGCCTTCTTTTGTCTTCTTTTCCCATTCCAAATATGCAGATGGCCGACGCCATCAAGTTATTCAGCAATCCAATGTGGTATGATTTCTGATCTATGTTTCCATTGCAATGTGCATTTCTAACAAGTGGGGTGATTTTGCTTATTAGTTCTGCTCCTCCCTTTGAATCAAGTGTCAAGTGTTCAATGCGAGTCAGGATCCATCGTACTTATTGTGGAGAACATTCGACATCGAAGATAAATATATTATATGTTAGAGCATAAATTGTATAACATGTCACGTGGAATATCCAATTAGTAAATACACGAGAGAAGTCTGGCTAGAAATATAACTAATTTTATTATACGGTGAAAGAAATAACTAATAGTCTGCTAGATAACCAGTTAAATAACCCTTCTAGACGTGGTTGTGCTAGTGTCGCACTAAGCTACTTTACGAGCATATTTAAAGACACGAAAAAAATGATCAAAATTGAATTCGGAATCGAATGAATCACATAAAACTCGAACGATATTTTTAGTTCGATTCTAATCTTCATTATTTTTTTCCTTTGCTTTTGATACTATCTTATCTTGACTCGATCTCATTCTAAACCGAATGAACGGATACCCAAACACACTACTCTCTCAAGTCTTAAGACTCTTAGTCACATATAGTTGCAAATGGAAGTCCACTTTGTGGTCTATAGGACCAAATCCACCCGATTCCCCACCCTTCCCCAGGCCCAATTGTGAATCTCCCGTTACCCCACATGATCCCATCCTCATGCGAGCTGGACACGCGTACAGGCCCGGCCCAATGTGGGCCCCAAAATCCCTAACCGACCACAAACACCAATCGCGTTTTCCCACTCCCAGCTACGTGGCGAGCTCCCATTCGCAGCGCCTCATTATACTTTCACCACCATGGCCAGCCAACTAACGGCGGAATCTCAACGCGACGGGAAAGTGAGACGCACGCTCTGCCGTCGCGCGTGTTCAGGACATTTTATTCATGTAATTCGGACGGAGCTTCCCTTGTGGTTGTTTATCTTTCTTTCTTTCTTTTAGTTTTGTTTCGAGGTGAAACTGAAAGTGGAAGCGGCAGCTCGACGGATAAATTTATTTACCTGAGTTGAAACAGTAAAAGTTTTCTGTCCGAGGACGAGTCTTTGGGCACTTTTTTACTGCCCCGGAGCCGCCGAATAATTTTTGGTTTAGCTGATAACTGAAAAGTCGTTTATTTCGTTTGGAAGTCAATTAAATCTAATTTATGGTTTATGTGCAGCGTTGACCAGACTGATAGAAATTAAAGTCATTGGATTTCCTAGTTTTAATTAGGGGTGGAAATTGGGGTGGGTGTGGTTACCCGCCCTATATTTTGCGGGTAACCACATCCACAAATATAGAATTATGTTACCCACAACCCGTTGCGCAGTGGATAGTGGTTAACCACAAAATATGGGGCGGGTAACTACACCCACCCCAATTTTCACCCCTAGTTTTAATTGTTTGCATTTTGTATTTTACCTCGGAGGCTAAACCGATAAGCGGTATTTAACTGTACTAACGATTGAACTACGGTTATATCACATTTTTACTATAAAATACCCTACCGCTGACGTCTCTGGTTCGGTCTCGGGTACGATTTCATGGACCATGTTTTTTTTTTACATCATTCCATCATGGTATCTGTATATGTTGTGAGTCGAGCTCGTGCATTTTTCGTTATTTATTTGGTATTATTATAGATCATAAATTTCTAGTATTTTTTCCTGATTATATCGTGTACATTGTCAAGTAATTAATTCATGCAGAATTATTTTGTAATTAAATTAAAATTTACAATCGACGACGAATTTATCGACATATTAATACTAAATACTTGAATCCAGACGACTTTTCAAAACACAACCCTCATACTTGTCTCGTGTTGAAGCCAAACCTTAGACCGTAATTAATAATCCCATTATCGAAAATAGAACCAAATAGTTGGTCAATTATATTCACATACACATTCCCAATTACAAGAAGAGATGTCTCATTTGGCAATCGGTGGTTTTAAGAATTAAAGGCGAGGAAAAGATTAAAAAAAAAAGGAGATAACAAAGAAAAGGCAGGGAAGGGAGAGGAAGAACAGTTTCACGTTGTTCTGTTCTGGTTATCAATTTTATTACTAAATAAATATTCTTTTTCTCTCTCTAATCCATTCAATTCCATTCAATTGCATATATAATTTTTTTTTCTTCCATTTTTATAAATAAGTACTTGTCAATCGGTGCGTAAACAAAAAGAAGCCAGAGGTTTACTCTCCCCCATTTCCTTTTCTCTCTCCTCTCCTCTCTCTCTCTCTCTCTCTCTAGCCTTCGGTTTCGTTCGGTCGGCGCTCTGCTCCCCCCGCCTGCGCCTCTCTTCTCCCCCTTCGCGCCCGCCATAACTTTGACGGCTTTCTCTGAAATGGAGGTAACCATTATATTATTATTATTATACACAAAAAAACGCCCATGTATGTGTATATAATATACAGCAGTAATTGTACATAGATAGATATATATATATATATCTGCGGGAAGGGAAGGGAAGGGAAGGTGTCTTCTTTGTTTCGAGTTGCTCTGTTCCTTTGCGATATGAAGGGGGTAAATCTTTTTCTTACTTCGGGATCGTGTCCGAATCTTACTCCTCAGTAGTTAATAAATAAACTTAGTTAGTTTGTTTTTTTTTTTCGGTTTCTTCAAAGCTTCAGTAATTGTTTGATTATGGCTGATATTGTGATGTATATATATGATGAAGCTCTGTTCTCGAGCTGTTATGGTTTGGTGATAGAGCTACGGGGAAATTGGGTAGCTTCCCAGATGAATGTGCTTCTTGGGTCGTTAACAATCAACCCAAAGTTTCGAGCTTTTTATTTTCCTTTTTCGTGGGTTTTTTTTTTTTGTGGTGGTGGTTGTTGTTTTCTCTTGGGAATTGAACTGATATCCACTGGTTTCTCAGTTAAATGCCTAGCTGCCTTCTGCTACAGCATAATTCATGTTTATTGGATGCTATGGAGGATTTGATTGTTCCATTTTCAATTCATTGGTTTACTTATTTACTTTTTATCCCTGATTTTTATTTTTTAATTTAGGTCCCGGTTACTTTCTGTTTTCACTTAGATAATTTTTTCTGTAAGATTATTGCTTCTACTGTCAATGTAGTTAGATTTGGTTACTGGGTTTGCTGCTCCTGAACTTTCTTACCACTGTAATGTCAAGAGTTCAATTTAATGGTGGGAAGAATTCATATAAGTTGCAGGAGTTAGGCACTGTTTGTGTTACTAAGAATCTGATTTGTTACTTGCTTCCACCCCTCCAGATGGATGAGGTTCAAATGGATCACAATGGAGATATCAATGCCATTGAATTTGCAGATCAGCAGCCTCTGCAGGCACTAGAATCTTCTGCTATATGTGTAAATGATGAATCCTCGAGAGAAACCGAGTTGCTGCCTCGAATTGGAGACCAATTCCAGGTCCCGATCCCACCTCTCATTACCAGATCGGTCTACCTCCAAACTGATCATACATTACCTTCAGAAGGCAATTCTCTCAAGTTTTCACTCGGGTTGCCTCTATCACTAACATGGATCAAGGAAGAAGGCGAGACGATCAAGAAAGAACTAGACGAGTTCCTTGATGCTTTGTCCACAGGTTCCTCCAGGAATGATTCTGTGAAGGCTGAGAATAAAAGCTACCGTTTGGTACCTGGTTCGTCGTGTTATGATGAATGGGATGATCTAGAAGTGGGGAGCTTTCTGCTTGGTCTGTATGTCTTTGGGAAGAACCTTGTTCAAGTACAGAAGTTTGTTGAGAGTAAGACAATGGGCCAGATACTGTCATTTTACTACGGGAAGTTCTATAGGTCGAGTAGGTATCGTAGATGGTCCGAATGTGGCAAGCAGAAAGGAAGGAAGAGAATGTTTGGACAGAGGATCTTCACCGGGTCAAGGCAGCAGGAGCTCTTGTCTCGCTTGGTCAATCGTTCATCTGAGGAGTGCCAGCACACTTTGCAGAAGGTAAAGCTATTTTCTTTCATGAAGGCTCTTTTAGTCATTTAATTGTAGAGAGATCTGTTAGCTTTATGAAATGTAGTAGGTTTACAAGTTGCCCAATGTATTTTCTTTCACTATTCAATGATGAAGCCATTATGTTAATTAATTAGGTTACCAAGTCATTTGGAGAGGGACAAATGATGCTGGAGGAATATGTATTTGCTTTAAAAACAGCAGTCGGTTTAAAGGTCTTAGTCGAAGCAGTGGGAATTGGCAAAGGGAAGCAAGACCTAACAAGCACTGCAATGGACTCCCTGAGGTCAACCAATCATGCTGGGTCAGCTCGACCAGAGATACCTGTTGGCAAAGAATGCTCAAAGCTAACACCTTTGGAGATAGTCAACTTTCTAACAGGAGGATACCGGCTGAGCAAAGCTAGGTCGAACGATATCTTCTGGGAAGCTGTTTGGCCAAGGTTGCTTGCTAGAGGGTGGCGCTCAGAGCAACCTAAAGATGGTTCTAGAAACTCCCTGGTATTTATAGTCTCTGGAGTTAAGAAGTTCTCTCGCAGGAAGCTTGTGAAAGGAGAGCACTACTTCGATTCGGTTACTGATGTTCTGAACAAAATTGGTTCTCAGCCTGCACTTCTTGAGCTTGATGCTGGGAAGGAAGAGAATGGTTGGAGTAAAGGTGGAAACTTAGAGGGAGACAGTTTAGGTGGTAAGGAGCAACATTCTTATCTTAAGCCGAGGAAATCAGAACTTGCTAGTACGAATGGTTTGAGCTTCACAATTGTTGATACTAGCCTGGCTAATGGGCAAAGCAAGAAGATAACTCAACTGAGAAGGTTGCCAACTCAGGCTATGAACATTTGCCTCCCAATTAGTGATTCTGAAGATAGTAGTAGTAGTAGTAGTAGTAGTAGTGATGATGACGATAATGATGATTCTTCGAATGGACCCACAGATGAATCGTATTCTGCAGGAGACTCGAGTGTTGATTTGGATTTTCATGGAAATGGCACTGTGAGACATAGTCTCCTTGTGAATGGCTTGAACAATAAGGCTGCTGCTGATGATGATGGAAGAACTATGCAGGCCAGAAAGGTTTTTGTGAATAAACCTCAAGCCACAAGGAAAAGAAAGCTACCCAGCAATGTGAATACTGTAGTGGAGCCACCAGCTGCAAAACGGCAACAGGTGAAAGCAGCAGGAGGAGGACCAGTGCCTTGTGATGCAAGGAATACCAAATGCAGAACCTTTGATGACGTAGTTGGTCAAGGAGTGGAGAAGCAACAACAGAAAGCAGCAGTGCCTTGTGACACAAGAAAGACTTATTTTGGAACATTCGATGACGAGTTAGTCAGTGGTCCAAGGATGATTCAGGATTACCCTGTGAGCTATCGTGGACATGGATTCCCTTCTCATTTGCTGAGTCAGCAGCAAGAGAAACTACCTTTCACCAGTTCTTCATCCAGCCATGTGAGCAGTACTTCTTCTTCTGCAGCTGAAAATTCCAACGACAATCCTCAATCTCGGACATTGATTGACCTTAATGTTGCACCTATCCCTCAAGAACCCGAAGACTCAATGGTGTCTGAGAGGAAGATCACTGATGTGCAGCCAGAGGACCCTGGAGTCCCAAAGCCCTCAACTTCGACATCTGACTCGCGTAGACACAGTACTAGAAACCGGCCACTGACTACTAAGGCACTGGAAGCTCTTGCTTGTGGGTTCTTAAGTTTGACGCCAAAGAGAGACAGCCATGCGTCGAAACAAGCATCTAAACGAGCTAAGAAGGCGAGGATTGGCAGCAGTTGTACTAACTTTGGACCCGAAATTGTGGATTTGAAAGGTGGAGATGAACCAGGAAGCTGTGTGACCAAGAGTAGTAGCAATGACGTTGATAACGAGCCTCAGGTTCGAAGTAATCAGCAATTTTTCAGCCGAGTTTGAAAATGACTTGAAGCCGTTGAATGAGCAGAGAAACCTCTGTGTGTACAGCTCAGCTGTTCAAGTTTACTTCATAGGTTATATGGCAAGAAGATGAAGGAAACAGAAAAAGACCAGGAATTGGAATTTGGGTTTGGAGTTTAAACTCTTTTATCTTTCATTCAAAATCAAATGGGTTGGAAAGAAAAAGTGCTTTCTTGTGAAGGGGGGAATTTGACTCCATCGATAAAGAATCCATCTTTGCAAATAATAGTTGAAAACCCACATTTCAATTTGTTTCATATCATTGGTTAAGAGCAAATTGAACAATGTACTGGTCGGTTGGTTCATGTAGCTGATAAATAGTTCCAACTGTAGATTTTGCCTGCTCAAATAATGAAAGGCCAGAGTTAAAATCTCTTATAGACACTCTTACAGCATCGATTGCAGTTTAATTAAAGAGACTAGAAACAGTTTTTGTAAGACCCAGTTGAACTCAAGTCTAAAATTCTAAACCTAAATCGAGATGTCGCTGCTTGAATTTGAATGCGATCACTTATAGCCGAGCCACGTCCGGTTCCGAGTTTCTGGTTAGGGGCAAGTGAAATTAATGTGGATTGAGAGCACTTTGCAGTGGAATTAGGGCTGGGAAAATAGACCATATCGTTAGAAAAACTGTGGTCCAAATCGTACCGCATAGTTTGGTCCGGACCGTAGACCGTGAAATATGGTTTGGTCTGGTCCATGGTCTGTATTATTTTATGATTTGATCTCTTGGTCTGGTCTGGTCTAAACCGCGGTTTACCGGACTAAACCGTGGACCCAACTGACTTGTCAATACGTGTTAACAGCCCATTCGACCACTCTCCAAACTCCCACAACGACACCCAAGTCTCAACCTTAATTTTGTGAATCTCTTCCCTCCTTCATTCACAACCACATTTAACTAGAAAGTAGAGATAATAGTGTCTCCATATGACATTATGTTAATGTTTATGACGTTATGGTGCAAGCTGGGATGTTTTACTTTGTATCTTTGTTATGTACTAAGATTTAGAGTATCAAAATTATTCATGCATGTTAGGATTAATGTTTTAAGGCAAATAACAATTATTTTTCTTGGTTATTGGTTCAATTTTTTGTGTGGTTGACTAAACAAATTATTCATTTTTCGTTGAGTGTGGTCTATCTGGACCAGACCAGACCGAACCAGACTGCACAGACGTGATCTGGACCGGACCGTATAGTCTGTGATTTGGTCTGTGGTCTATATTTTAGCCTCTCGGTTCGGACCACACCGTTTCCCAACCATAAATGGAATAGTCTATCTTTGAGTTTTTGTACCAAAAAAAGCTAGGGGCAAGTGAAATTAAAACCTCTCCAAAACAAACTGACGTGTGTTCGCCACAGACATTTGTTTGTTACTCACTTGCCGCTTTTCTTCTTCTTCGTCATCATCTTCCATTTCCAAGGATCCCTCCCTCTCTTCCTCCCACTTACCAGCGGAAATACTCCTTCCCGAACGCTACATAAAGCGCCAAGCGGCGTCGTTAGTGCTATTCTAGCCGTTCCGAGAGGCTGAAAAGGGAGAAGAGAAGACGACAAGTGAAGAAGAAAGAAGCGAATGGGTCAGGCATTTCGTCGAGCATCTGGCAGAATCCGAGTTCCCGATCCGTCTCCCAGTCCCAAGGTGGTTGTCGATCGCAGGCCACCGGAAAGTGCCACCGAGAAAGTGGTGGAGGTGTCAAGGAGAACTACCCAGAAACTCGACAATCAAGATACACTTGGCGCTGGTGAGTCTCCTCTCTGCTTATTCGTTAGAATAGGTGAATTCTCTTGTGTCGGTTTCTCGGAAAGTAAAGGGGGAACTGAACCCTTCCCCCTATTCCTTCCAAAGTTTGAGACTTTGCTGGTTTTCCCTCTGACCTAAGAGCAGAAATGTAAGTAATGTTTGCTTGATGACTGTTAATTTGAGCTCCATAACTAGCCATTGTATCATTGAGGTTGAATTTTTTCCCCTGCCTTCCGTTTGTTTCCTGAGAAAGAAAGGAACAGAACAGGCTGGCATTGGGAACTCCGGACTTTGACATTCTGCTGTGCTGCTTTTGCACTTACCGTTTTGATCTGTAGTATCGTCAGGGAAATGTATATCTGGGTCATGGAATGAACTGACCTGCAGCATGCCTTTTTGTTTTGTGTAGCTGATAATCCAAGTTTTGATGCTGAAAATCCCCTTGAAGAACGGGATCCACAATTCGATGCAATGCTCAATCAAATGGTGGGAAGAATCCAAACGAAGCCAGGAGGGAAATCTGAGATGGGTGAGGTGAGCTCTACTGATATTGGCTTCACCCTTTTAGTTCTCTGTTCATATTCATACTAGGAAGTTGTATAAATAGGGAAGTGAACACCTGTTGGGGTTTGGTCTTAAAGAGAATCCATGATGGTTTCATTATAATCAAAACCATCAGCAGACTGAATATGGATAGACATTAGATAAAAATGGTTTTGAGAAAAGACTTCATTTTAGGAGAAAGGCCATGACTGAGTTGTTTGTAATGACCTTGATCTCGCCAAGCTCTGTATTTATGGTGGAAGCAACTGTTCTCTCGACAATGAATTAGTCTCATCATTCGTCTGAAGTCTTAAGAACAGAAGGAATTGAGTTCCCTATAAAGCAAGCGATAGGTTTTCTTTCTTTTGAGGAAGAAAAGCTGTGAACTCCAAGACCGAGGTACCCTATCCACAAAAGATTTAATCTGAACCAGTTTTCCTTATGAGCTTCTGTGTGTGTCCCAATTTGTAGGGTTGAGATTGAGATCGATATCCTTGAATTGAAATATTCGGAGTGATCAACTTCTGCAGTGATATACCTAAATGAACCAGATACCTGCTACAAAAGCTTCTAGAAAGATAAGAATCATAAGTAGCATGCAGCAGGGAGGGCCATGAGTTCGAACCAATAGGACTTCAGACTACATTTTCTATTCTCCATCAATTTCAATCGCATTAGGAATGTTAGGAATGCAAAAAATTATTTTCATTGAATGTTAAAGCTGCTATCTCTATGACAGGCATCTGTAGTAGAAAGGCCTAACAAGCCCCTACCAAAACTACGGAACACACCTCCCGATGCTGCCAGTAAGTATGAGGAAAGAGCTGTTCCCCCGGGAACCCTGAACTTGGCACAACTCCGACACATTCTCAAACTAGATGCAGGCAAGGGGGAAGAAGGAGACAACCTCAAGTCGCCCGTGGACGCCCACCAAATCGCTCAACAGTTCCGCCTTGAAGTCGAACAAGTTAAGAAGTTCTTGCAGTTTGTATCACTTCCATCGGAGGACAGCATGAAGAAGGACAAGGAGGTTGAATGACGCTTCTGTCAGTAAGTTCACTGGAACTGGTGTTGAATAAAGAACTACTAGGCAATGAACTGACGATTCCCTTTTTAATAGTCTGAGTTTTCAAACCTCTCTGTCGTGGGAAGATGTTGTACATCATAGAGAATGTAGCCGTATTTTGGAAAAGTTGGGGCAAGAACATGTTGGTATTTTAGCAGAAGTTTTGTGTTACTATTTGTTTTGGTCTTGAGGAAAGCAAATACCGAGATGATTCTTTCCAACATCACCTATTGAAAGAAATTTTACATTTTCTCATAATCAATCATGTTAAAAGCTGGGGAAAATTATATAACGAACTAATGATCAAGTCGATATGATTTTATTACAGCTTGCATAAGCGATTTTACAATTGTCCTATGCACTGTCAAAATCCCTATAATATTGACTAAGCAAAAGAAAGAATACTAATGTAAACTCCCTTCTTGGGGTGAGGCTGAGGCATGCCTTTTCTTGCGTTAATATGGAAACAAAAATGAATGGTACACTGCCTAAAATTCTGCGTCAAGAAGCACAATAACCAAAAAAAATCAATCTTGTTTATCCAGATTCCAGATTCAAGTCCAAATAGATTCTAGCCAGTCTGACGTCATTTCATAAGCCACAAATGTTACAGCACCGGCAGGAGCAGCCTTGACGGTCGAGGGGACGATCCCCTTGTACAGACCAGCCCAGCCTTCTGCCAGCACGATCTGGCGCAGGGCATCAAACATGTTTTTGTACGAACTGTGCTCGACTCTGGCACCATATTTCGGGTGCCTCTGAAGTCCTTCGATCTGGAAGATGATAAAAGGAGAAGAAGTCGTATAAGATGAGGTTCCATACAGCCATAAAGAGAATCGAGACGAGAAGAATGATTTCATACCTGGAATCTTTTCTTGACAACATCAAGAGGATGGCAGACAAGTTTAGCGCACGTCCCAGCAGCTATGCCGCAAATAAAAAGTTGGAAGCTAGAGAGGTTATCATTGTCTGCAGTTGTCATGTTGCCAGCTCTAGAATGATTCCAAGTCTGCGACAAAATTACGGTTTAGTGACCTAGTTATTCAAAGAGTTATATGTCCACTAGGCCCGTCTGCTACTTATGCAAACTGGGCAATCTAATGGTGAACTATGGTAGATACAATAGTACAGGGTCAAAATTCACATATAACAATGAAAGCCTTTGAATCAGTTCCTAACAAAACTCAACCAGCAGCAGAACAAGTAAAAGACATACCATGGCCCAGCGCTTGAATGTATCATATGTACCAAACTGGAGTCCTGCATAAGGGACAATCTCGACCAGTGTTGGGGATAATCCTGCATATAAGCCTTTAAAACCACGAGCTTTGACAATGTCGACAAATGCAGATCTCATCGTTGGATACACCTACATAAAAAGGATGTACAAGTCAAAATGACGGACAAATATGACTGCATGAAGTTTAGGAGCTGTGAGAATGATCGGCATCAGGTAACGAAGCATGCAGATAGCAACGAATAAGTGTGTGGCATTTAGTATACCTTGGGTTCTCCTTGAGAAGCTAATATGGTGCGAAGAAGATCAAATGGATATGATCCCACAGTAGCTGCGCATCCCGCCAAAGCGCCACTTACATAGGACAAATATGGGCTCAAATGAATGTGATCGGCTGCATTACATGATTACATAAAAATATGAGACAGATATCGACTCAGATGAATGTGTCAAAAGAATGAAACAAAAGAAGCTATGAGGGAAAATTCCATCAAGCTCAAGAGGACTACCCCGCTTCGAATTAGTAGGTTTCAGACAACATCATGTAACATATGCAGTCAAATCTAAGAACCTCCTATAATTGAGCTGAATCACCAACCAAATACTAAATGATTGACAACTAACTCATATTCAACAAAAGGTAAGAGGCAGCCCAGATACCATGACGCACCTGTCTTGGAGGAACCAGCTGCAAATGATTTTATCTTGTGTAGCACAGCAAATTGTATGGCAGTGTACGGCATAACCATGAGCAGAGCTGGAACATTACCACGCCAAAAACCCTACCGAAGAGAATAAACCCAGTAGTGTATTAGAGGTGGCACAGTCGTATCACACGATTTATATAATCAGCTTGAGCAATTATTTAGGGTTTTCCATTCCTAGCTGAACCGGAACACCTTAAGAAGTATCCAGTCTCAGTGCCCGACTCCTTTTACAAGTTCAACGTATTTCTAAACAGGTTTAGTACCTAACCAAAATTGTAGATTTGCATCAGCAACTTATTACCCCTCTCTTCTTTCACTCTTCAAGCATCAATGAATATCAAACAACAACAGAAGAGAAGAGAAGAAGCTATATACCGCTAAGCCTTCTTCTCTGAATATATCCTTGCTTGCTTGCAGCATTCCTGTATACTTGGATGGAGCAGCCAGATTTCTATTGAGCAAGGCCCATGATGTCGTTGGCTCCAATTGAACCTGCAAACCATGAACAACAAATTCAGAATGATCCCCAACTGTTCTCTGCCCCTTCAGGTACCTAATGCCACTGACTTGATAACGAACAGCAAGGCAGCCACCACCATGAATGAAGGCTGCTAGGAAGCGCTCTGGAACTAATTCTAAGACCCAATACGCTTCAATATGCACTAAGCATTTAAAAATCGAAACTTTAAGCCACTACGTGATCAAAAAGCAATCAACCCATTAACCAAATCCCTAACTTCACTGCACCGCCATTCATAATCAGCCAAAACCTCAATTTCCCTGGCCAATCAAATCAAAATCAAAGCGCTCCCCAATCCAATACAACCCAAGGCATCCCAGAAAAAGGAAACAAACCTGGAATCTGATTTTGATGACATCAAGAGGCGAAGTAACCGTACGAGATATCCCGCCGGCGATCGCCCCCGCACTAGCGTCCAACAAGGCCCGTTTCAACGGCTGCTCCTCCATTACCGGAGAGAGAAGCTGAAAAAACTCTCCCTCCCAACCGCCTCGGTTTCTCCTCTCGCCTTCCCCCCCTTTCTCGCCTCACTCAGCAGCTCCCGGCCATAGAAACGAACGCCGGCGAGGGCAAGACGGGAGAGCTAGAAGCAGCGAGGCGGAAGAAGGAACGGGCGGCGGCGGCGGCGGTGGAGGAGGAGAGAAATACTTTTTGGCGCGTTGGGCAGAAAAATAAGCGTTTCGTAAAGCTTTTTATGTTATATGACCTACGGAAAGCGAGAATGGGATCTGCCGACGTTAGCTGCTTGCTTTTGGGTAATTTCGATTAATCGCCGGCCGGGGAGGATTCTTTAATCCCTTCCCTGCTTCGATTTGCCGCCTTAATCCACAATTGGATTGGATTTTTGCGCCTAATTAGCTGGCAACAGGGAATGGGATATTTTTTCCTTTTTTTCTTTCCGTTTTCTTTGTTCGAAGGGAAGAAGGAAGGAAACGGCAGGCTGGGATGACGGCGAGAGAACTTCTTTTTGGGGGAAAGAAAGAGGGGGAGACGGGTGATCGGCGTTATTTGACGGCGTGAATCTCGGTGGCGGGCCGGTAGATTCCGTTTAATATCGTCCATGGAATGTGCTGGTAGTTGCTGACTTGCCTTTTGTGGGTCAATTGCATGGGCAGTCACTGTACTTTGGGATACTAGCAAAATAGTCAGCATAATTTTGCTTTTGTAATGGACTTGTAACTAATGTTTGAAATGACTCATATTATGAATTTACAATCAAACACCTCTATAAATTTGGTTGTACAATGCACCAAACTCTAATAGTAACTTGAAGACATCGAATTTTGGATTTTATTGGTAGCATTAGTCTAATATGTTGATACGACATATGATCACAACCAATCAATTCATTGTCCTAACCTCTAAACCTTCAATTTTGAACACAAATCCAAAATCTCAACTTATAAATCCTAACCCGAACCCTAAATCTCTAAATCCTCGATCCTTCAAATTGAAGTACATCTTGAATGAATTTTGTTGTTGTTGTTGTTGTTGTAAATTCATGTGTTTTCTTCTTGTTGATCATATCACAAGTTATGGCAGATACCATTTTGACATGAATCGCATGCTTGAAATGGCAAATATGAGACGAGTGCATTGAATGCACCCAAGAAATTGAGTGCACCGAAGACAAGACCATGATCCTTAATATTTTTTATTATTCATAATTTTATCCCATTTCTATAGTTTTAAAATTAAAATAATTTCTAACATGATTTTATTTTAATTTTAATTTTTTATTCACATGAGTAAACTTTTATTCATTTTACATTATCTTCGAAATATAAAAAAAAATATTTCTAATAATTTATCAACCAAACACACAGGAACTCTAGTGAGAAGTTGATTTGCTAAAACTACAACATGGCCAAAATGAACATTAGTCCATTTTGATCAATTTATTATCGAAATTGTTTGCATTATCGTGTCAACTAAACATAATTGTCCACTATCCAGTACAACATAATTTCCATCTTGAAATTTTTGTAAACATAATTCTTTATTGGTTTTGTTGGGCCGCATAGTTGAGCGTGTCTGGGCCTCGGGCCCAAGAGAAGCGAGTCGGAGTTTAAGGCCAAATGAGGAGGCCAGGCCCGATCGAAAGACCGGGTCAGCGGGTGGTCCATGATCGACTGCGAACCCGAGGAATAAGATAAGGGCGCCTGACATAAAGCAACTGAGCAGCGCAGAGGGGCAGAGAGCCGTTAAAGATGCGTATCTGGTGTCAGGCAAGACTGAGCATTTATTGCCAGCCACAGGCGGCCTGCAGAAAGGCTGAAAGCCTGCCCAGGACGCCTGACATTCCCCAAAAAGCCTGCACGGGCGCCCGACCAGGTCTGGGGCGCCCGACACAGCATTTAATGCCCCAACCACCCTTTAACCAGGTATAAATAGAGGGTGAGTGCATTAATGGTAAGGCCAACTACTATTCATCTCTGTACATAAATTCTAATCTCTCTCCTTCTCTCTCTAACTTGAGCTTCGGAGAGTGTCCCGGGCGAATCGCCCCGGACCGCTGTTTTGCAGGGTATCAGGAGCATTCCCCAACATCCGAGAAACATGCGCCTCACCCCAGCTCCACAAACCGCCTAGTATCTACTATGCACAAACAATTTGGCGCCCACCGTGGGGCTGGAGCGGAGCGTTTGAATCGAAAGATGGAAGGGAACTTCAGAACTCCCGTGAAGGACGTCATTGGCGGGGAAAGCATCAGAGGATTGGAGATGCCGACGGTCGAGGAAGAGAAAGACATGGAAGAACGCGTGAGAGACCAGGGGCAACTCACCAGTATGCAAGAAAGTTTGAGCCAGATTCTCACCATGCTCAAAACAAGAGACGAGCCCGAAAGTTCCAAGATGCGAGGTAGCAAAGAGAAGGGCGCGGGCGGAGAGATTCCCCCCAGCCCCCCTCGCACAGAAGACGGAGAGTCCGACAGAGAGGAGGATATGGACGGCTTCCACCTCGACCTCCTCGAAGAGCACTTGCGACCTTGCTACGGGAAGCCCAAAGGCTACAATGTGTTGCACAACCCCTTGGCGAAAAGCCTCTTCAAAATCCAGGTGTCGTCAAACTTCTCGTCGCTCGGCCTCCCGGCCTACACAGCAAACTCAGATCCGTCGGATCACTTGAGTGCCTTCATGCTCAAGATGCAGCTGATTAACGCCTCAGACGCCGATCTGTGCAAGGCGTTTCCAGTCACATTCGGGGGGCAGTGTCGCAGCTGGTATGCGTCCTTACCAGCCGGGATAATCGAAAACTTCGAGCAGTTCGCCACCCTTTTCTCCTTGAAGTTTGCTTCTCAGCGCAGAAGGCAGCTCACGGTCTCCGCACTCATCAACTGCAAGCAAGGAGAAGAGGAAACCTTGGCCGACTTTTACGACCGATGGAATACAATAGCTTGTGAGGTCCAGGACGTCTCAACCAGCGTAGCCGCCGGGAACCTAAGGATGTCGACGCACAGCCGGGAGCTTAAGAGGTCTCTCATAAAAAAGGAACACAATATCAAGTCTTGGCAAGATCTAGACCGCGTGGTACGAAAGGCCATCTTCTTGGAAGAAGCGCTCAACGCCGAGGAAAGCGCGAAGGGGACGCCAACGTCCTCAAACAAAGCGGAAAAAGGAAGGAACGGGTCGCCAAAGAGAAGAGGGCGCACGCCCGAGCGACGAAACTACAAGCCCCGGTTCAACAACAGGGACGGAAGGCGTGAGGTGTTCACATCAGAGAAAGAGGACGATGGACGCCGCGACGGGGCAAAGCCCGGGAAGCACGTCCCCGCCAAAGGAGAGACGACGACTAGAAGTGGTGCGACTGGCATCAGCTGCCAACCCACGACACCACAGAGTGTCGTGAGTTCAAAGCCAGTCTCAAGTACCTGGCACCTGGAGACCTGAAAAGCTGCCTAGACACAAGGGCGCACCCCAGGGAGAGAACGGATGAAAGGGAGAGGTCTCCCAGTCCAAGGAGAAGGTCCCGCACGCCCAGACGTCGGAGATCTCGGTCGCCCAGAAGGGAGAGAACCCCCCGCAGGGAGCGCTTGCCTCCGCCGCTGCCAAGGCACGCCCCTCCGCATCGGCACCCGCCTCGAGAAGAGGAAGAGGGAGTCGAAATAATCACCATCGCCGGAGGACATAAGCGTCCTCGGACAGAGGGGGACCGCTTGGTGCAGTGTATGAACGTGCACAGGAAAGAACAAGTCGAGATCAGCTTCGCGCCCTCGGAACTGGCGCCCGAAGAGTGTGGAGAAGACCCGTTGGTCATCTCTTTTCGCACCAAGAAGTTTAAGGTCACCAGGGCCTTGATTGACAACGGAAGCTCAGCAGACATCCTGTTTTACTCCACGCTCAAGAGCATGAAAAGGGGGCTACAAGACCTTAAACCATCCACGACCAGCCTGGTAGGGTTCTCTGGATCCAAAGTCAGGGTGCTCGGCTCCATCACACTCCAAGTGACGATTGGAGGCCCAGAAGTGACGAAGACGCGCCTCATGGACTTCCACGTGGCGGACTGCCCCTCCGCCTACAACGCCATATTGGGGCGCGGCTTCCTGTCAGCCTTCTCGGCGGTCCCTTCTACCTGCCATCAGATGCTTAAGTTTCCCGCCAAGGGCAAGATAGGACGCGTCCTGGGTGACTCCCAGCAAGCCAAAGAATGCTACCAGGCCACCATCAGGAACTTGGAGGTCGACCAAGTGGACACAAGGGGGAGTCATCCGCGCCCCGAAGCGGCCGAAGAGGACATTGCGGTCGTGCTGGACGACGACGAGCCGAAGAAGAAGGTTAGGATCGCAGCTCACTTGGCGGAGGAGCAGGCGCGGGAGCAAGATCTATTCGCTTGGACGTCAGAGGACATGCCTGGCGTCCCACGGGAGCTAGCAGAGCATTCCCTGTCGGTCAAAGGCAAAGCACGACCAGTGCAGCAAAGGAGGAGGAACACCTCCCTCGAGAAGCAAATGGCATTGGAAGAAGAGGTGAAGCGCTTGCTGAAAGCAGGGTTCATCAGAGAAGTAAAATATCCAACGTGGCTAGCCAACCCTGTCTTCGTGCGGAAGGCGTCCGGTCTTTGGCGAATGTGCATCGATTTCACAAGCCTCAACGCGGCCTGCCCCAAGGACGCGTATCCACTCCCCAGAATCGATCAGCTGATCGATTCGACTGCGAATCACGAGACCCTAAGTTTCCTGGACATGTTCTCAGGCTAGCACCAGATACGCCTATCGGAAGAGGAACAAGAGAAGACCGCGTTCATGACACATATGGGGAATTTCTGCTACACGGTCATGCCGTTTGGTCTGAAGAATGCAGGCGCGACGTACCAAAGGATGATCGATACAGTGTTCCAGAGGCAGTTGGGTAGAAATGTGGAAGCCTACGTTGACGACGTCCTAGTAAAAAGTAAGAGAGGAGCCGATCACTTGACCGACCTAAGGGAGACCTTCGTAACGCTTCGAAGAGAGCGCCTCCGACTGAATCCGCTAAAATGTGTGTTCGGAGCAAAAGCGGGCAAATTCTTAGGATTTATGATCACTAACAGGGGCATAGAAGCAAACCCAAAGTAGATCGAAGCAATACTCGGCCTGAAACCGCCACGCACGGTGAAAGAAATCCAGGCGTTCAACGGAAAGATGGTCGCCCTGAGCCGCTTCATCCCGCGGTTGGCAGACAAGTGTTTGCCTTTTTTCCAAATGCTGAAGAAATCCGCGTCTCGCCTACAATGGGGACCAGAATGCGACAAAGCCTTCTTTCAGTTGACGGAACAACTCGCCTCTCCTCCCGTCCTTAGCGCCCCCCTCCAGTCCGAGCCCCTGTATCTGTATCTGGCGGTTTCAGACCAGGCGGTCAGCTCAGCTCTGGTAAGAAGGGACGCTGATGGCACAGACCATCCCGTGTACTATGTCAGTAAGGCCCTCCTGCCGGCTGAAAGGCGATATATGCCAATTGAGAAGGCGGTCCTAGCGGTCATCTCCGCAGCGAGGAAATTGCGTCCTTACTTCCAGGGGCATCCAATCACTGTCATATCCAACCTACCCTTAAAGAAGATACTCAGGAGTTTGGACGCCTCGGGAAGGATGACTAAATGGGCGGTCGAGCTCAGTGAGTACGACATCACGTACGCGCCGCGTCCTTCCATAAAAGGGCAGGTGCTTGCGGATTTCGTGGCAGAAGGTTTTAGCATCGATACCACCGAGACCGAAGGAGGGGTGGAAGTATGGCGCTTGTTCGTGGACGGAGCCGCCGGAAAAGGCGGACCAGGTGCTGGAATTGTGCTCGAATCGCCCCGAGGGGTTATACACGAGTTTTCCCACAGATTCCAGGAATTGAAGACCAACAATGTAGCGGAGTACGAGGCCCTCTTGAGCGGTCTCCGAATCGCCATGGGAATGGGCGCCACACGCCTCCACATCTGCTCCGACTCCCTGTTGGTAGTCAACCAAGTCCTGGAAAACTACGAAGCAAAGGAAGAGGCGCTTGCAAAGTTAGCCGACGAGGTAAGAGGCGTCCTCTCGCAGTTGGAGGAATGGAAACTAGAGCACGTCAAGCGGGAAGACAACCACCACGAAACGCCTTGTCCAAGCTGGCCACGGCTATGGACTTCGAGGGCGATCGCCAAGTCACAGTCACCAAAGAGGCCCCGCCCAGCGAGGGGGTCATGGCC